TCGTGTTCGCATTTCTTGAGTGCATCCACCGATTTGGTCTTGCGCTGTGGCTTCGTTTCCATGAAGATGGCCTCTGCCCACAGCTCGCCGGCATTGGGACACTCCTGCAGGGCACGCGCCATCATGGTGCTGGCAATCTCCTTAAGCCCGGCACGCAGCTCTACGCGGATGGCCTCCAGCCAGAGCACTGCCACCTTGGGATTGCGCAGCCTTCCTCGCTCCAGTATTGAACGCGCCTTGGTTAAGACACCTTTACGCTCCTCCAGATTGGCGGACAAAATCCATAGGGGTATCGAGGTGGGGCACTTTTTCAATGCCAGCGTGTAGGTGGCGGCCGCATCGTCCGTGCGTTTTTGCTGCTCCTCAATCTGACCCTTCATCATCCAGAGTTTCGGAAATTCGGGAAAGACCTCGACGGCCTCGGCTAGCAAACGCAATGCCTCATCGAAGCGTTCCAGTGCCCATTCGAGTCGCGCCGACTTCATCATAACGCGTGGCGTGGGCGCAGATCCACGTGCCTTGGCCAACAAACGTCGTGCACGCTCGTATTCCGAGTTCTCCGACTCCAACTTGACGGCTGCCAGCCAAATATCCTCGGAATTGGGATTCGCCTGGAAAGCCAACGACAAAATTCCTCGGGCAGCGGGCACATCGCCTGCCATCCACTTGGACTTGGCGCCCATCAGCCAAAGTATCTCCGACTTGGGACAATGCGCCACAGCGCGTTGCAGCAGCGCCTCCAAGGACTCTCGTGTGCCATGATTCTTCTCAAAGTATGCAGCACGCAGCCAAATGCTCTTCTTCGATGGAAACATCTGCAGGGCGTGCGCATAGACGGCGCGCGCGCATTCAAATGCATTTTCCTTGGCGCACTGAAATACAAATTTATATTAGACTAACTTGAAAATGGAATCCGTAACAAATACTCACAAATTCGGCATCATCGATCCAGGTTTGCTTGCGATCCTCCTCCTCGACACCAATCCCGATAACAGCTTTCACAATTGCCTGGCAGCAATTGACAGCGCCCGACTTCTCCGCCTCGATGGCCTCCTGGAACCAGTGATCCCGATTGATTTCGACGCCGTTCGCCGTAAGCGATGTCAGCGAACGATCGACAATCTTTTCAACCATGTGTATGTTGCCATTGGCCTCTTCCAGCTTGGCAGCCGTTGTCCAGATCTGGCGATCTGTGGGTATATTCTCACGCGCCTTGTTCAGCACCTTGCGCGCATTCTCGTAGGTCTCGAGGCGTGCCAAGGCCAGCCACAGCTCCACACTGGTGTTGCAGCACTCGACGGCACGCGACAGCAAGATCCGAGCATCATCGGGATTCTCCAGCTCCACGGCCGCCTTCCACAAACGCACCGAGTTCGGTATGTGCTCCAGAGCTTTGCGAAAGACGCGTCGCTTGGCCTTGGTTTCCGTCTCCAGATCAGCAGCCTTGATCCAAATTCGCACCGATGTGGGAATGTGACGTGCCGCCTGGGCAATGACAGCTTTGGCTGTGTCGGGCGGTTGTAGGCGCGCCGCCTCCAGCCAGAGATCCTCGGATTGTGGATTCATTTCGCAGCCACGCATTATCAGATTACGTGCCATTTGTACCTTGCCTGTGACCTCTTCCAAGCGCGCCGAGGCTATCCAAGCGGGCGGATGATTGGGATTTGTTTCACGCACGCTCTTCAGCAGCAGACGCGCCTTTTTAATGTCATTGATGTCGCCGCCATAGGTGGGTATCATGCTCTGCAGATCTGTCAGATAGCCCTTGGGATCGACCACCGTTTGACCTGTCACAGAGTCCGATACCTGCGAGAGCTTCACATTCATGAGCGTGTTTCGCGCCTGTCCAATTTTGCGCAAGTCCAAATCGCCGGTGGGCGTTAACATGCCGGGCGTGGCCACGCCGGGCACCATGGACGCCAAACCGGAGCTGGCATCCAATGAGGATGCAGTCTCACCGCCCAGATTCCGCGAGAGAACGCTATCCGGCAGCGGAGTAAACTTTTCGGCTCGTGGATTGCGCTGCTTGCGATTGCGACTGTCGCCCACTTCGGGTATGGTGGACCACTCTTCGGTGGTTACTGTGGCCAGCGAGCGCTTCAGATCGCTGAACTGCTGCTGAATCTTGGGCCGTTCCTGACGATACCGCTCCAAGTCCTCGCGCAAGCGTCTGTCGCGATATTCCTTGCGTTTCTCATCCATGCGCTTCTCTATAGAATCGTAAATTGCGTCCGCCTCTTCGTCGTCCTTGTCGTAGGGATCCTTGGAGAAGAGAGAGCCGCTATAGCCGCTAAACTCGTCATAGTTGGAGTCGTTTAAATCCTCATCTTCCTCCTCCTCTTCGTCCTTTTTCTTGCGCTTGGTGGCTGGCGGCGCGTGGCGATCATCGGACACATCGTTGGCATCGCGCGCCGGACCAATATCCGAACGTGTTGTAAAGCCAGTGGCGCTGTGTTACCAAAAAATTAACAATTGTCGAAAATTTGGTGTATATTAAGAAACTACTTACCCACGTCCCACGCCGGCAACATAGCCAAGCGGCGCTGGTACGCCTAGGAAATGCTTTTTATTGCGGTTGGCAATTACCGCAGCTGTTATATTTGACATATTTCGACGGTTTTACGTTATTTTCTCTATTATTTATAATAATATTCAATGATATAAACAAAACGTTTGCGAGGCGCTGGCTGCTTCTTGCAATTGTGCCATTCGCCCACAATGGCAAGTGTAGAGATGGGAATATTCGAAACTCAGTGCACAGGCTACAAAACTATCGTTTACAAATATCGTTGTCATGATTGTAATCGAAATATTTGACAATCTCTAACGATAGCTTATCGAACTAAAGTCGGCACAGAACAGAAAAGCAATTCAATAATTTTCGCAAATTACGCTTGCTAACAAAACGTTGCAAGATGCCCGTGCTGCCTATGCCGCCGCTTATGCAGGTGAGTGACATTGCAGTTTTCAAGCACCCATCAAAGTACTCACGTAGCCGTGACACATTTTAAGAATGCCGTGGAGCCAATGCAAGTGGATGCGCCACCGAACGAAGACAATGAAAACAATGAAGAGCATCAAATTGTGGTTGAAAATCCGACAATCGATCTGGAGGTATATGCCAATCAATATACGGGCATCGCGCGTCTCGATCGCCTGATTTATGTGGCCGACGTTTGCCCACTTCTGGCCCTGGAGGCACTCAAAATGGCCATCACCTACGTGCAGTCCACCTACAACGTGAAGGTCTATCAGATGCTGCACAAGCGTTTGGCTGATCTACAAGCGGCTGCTGGAGTTGCGGGTGCGGCTGCTGCCGTTGTCGCAGGCGGTGATCAAGCAGCCGGCGCTGCTGCCGCTGTTGCAGTTGCCGCTCTGCCCGACATCGCTGCACAGCCGGTAGCAGCAGCTGCAGCTCAGGCGAATGCCACCAGCGCTGGCGGCGAGAAGGATGCCTTTGCCTATGACGCTGTCTGGGTAGATGCCAAAATGAAGAAGGCGGCTCTCAAACTGGAGAAACTGGACTCGGATCTGAAAAACTATAAATCGAATTCCATCAAGGAGAGCATCCGACGCGGACACGACGATCTGGCCGATCATTACCTGAGCTGTGGCGATCTGACCAATGCTCTAAAGTGTTATTCGCGTGCGCGTGATTATTGCACCAGTGGGAAGCATGTGGTCAATATGTGCCTGAATGTTATCAAGGTGTCCATTTACTTAAAGAACTGGGCGCATGTCTTGAGCTACATATCGAAGGCAGAGAGTACGCCCGACTTTTCCGAGGGCTCCAAGGAGGCCAATGCACAGGTGCACACGCGCCTGGAGTGCGCCGCCGGCTTAGCCGAGCTGCAGCAAAAGAAATACAAAGTGGCGGCTAAGCATTTTCTGGCAGCCAACTTTGATCATTGTGACTTTCCAGAAATGATCTCCACCAGCAATGTGGCCGTCTACGGCGGCCTCTGCGCCTTGGCCACCTTTGATCGGCCGGAGCTAAAGCGTCTGGTAATTGCTTCCACCTCGTTCAAGCTGTTCCTCGAGCTGGAGCCGCAGCTGCGTGATATTATCTTCAAGTTTTACGAGAGCAAATACGCCAGCTGCCTAACGTTGCTCGACGAGATTCGCGACAACCTGCTGGTGGACATGTACATAGCCCCACACGTCAGCATACTCTACACGAAGATACGCAACCGTGCGCTAATCCAATACTTCAGCCCATATATGTCCGCTGATATGCACAAAATGGCCACGGCCTTCAACTCGACCGTGGGCGATCTGGAGAACGAGGTGATGCAGCTCATACTGGACGGCCAGATTCAGGCGCGCATCGACTCGCACAACAAGATACTCTACGCCAAGGAGGCCGATCAGCGCAACAGCACCTTCGAGCGCGCCCTGCTCATGGGCAAACAATATCAGCGCCACACCCGCATGCTTATACTGCGCGCTGCCATGCTCAAGAGCCACATCCATGTGAAGAGCGTCTCCCGCGAGACTGGCAGCAATCATGGCGCCGAGCTTTGCGTCTCCGCGGGCTCCAGCACAACCGCACAACTGGCTCGCATCTAAAGCCAACTAATATATATAGCAACATTCGATACATACGCAAAGGGACAACTGTGTTAACCAGAACAAGTTGATCCTTTTCATTTTTTCCTTCTGTGAATTTCTTGTGTGCGGCAAAATAAAGTCTTATAGCGAAGCTAATTAATTCAAAATAAGTTGAAAGTTTGATGCACTTGCTGAAATTAGTATAAATTTGTCAGCATATGTAAATATTTCTTCTGATCCATCTCATTTTCGAATTTATATTTCCACGCGCGGGGAATGTATGAATGAATGGAGCAATCCAAGCTTGTGTCTATGTAGATCCTCGATAAATCTGTCTTGTTTCAGTTTAAACGATCATCTTTCGCTCTATCTGCAGCAGGCAGATATATAGTTCTCCGATCCGTTCAAGCTTTGAGCTTCATATACATAAAAAAAAAAGACAGAGTAGCTGAATTTAAAAAGCTGGAATTCTATTTTAGTAAAAAATGGGTGGGTTTTGCTACAATTGCGATTATAAAAATGTAAATGCTTGCGAAACTAATGTCTCTCGCGTTTTTTGTGTTCCCGATCCCGCTCCCGGCGATTGTCGCCGCTGCGCGAACGCTGTCGCCTTTGCCTGGTTCGCTCCTCTCTGTTTGGGCTACGTGATCTTTCGCGTTGGCCATTGCTATGATGATGATTGTCTCTGCTGGCTTTGTGCCGTTCCTCTGCAGCTGCTTTGGAGCCATTGGTGTGACCACTTCGGCTGTGGGAACGTTCGCGTCCAAGAACGCGTTGCTCCCTGTTTTTGCTGCGGGAATGCGATCTCTCTCTGCTTTTGTGGTTGTGTTTTTGGCGCTTGTTTTGGTCAGCTGGTCCGCTGTCCGAGTCGGATGACGAGGAGGAAGAGGAGGATGAGCTGTCGTTGTTGCTCTCGGTCGACTTTTTGTTCTTCAGCTTTTTGCTGTCCTTTTTGGACTTCTTTTTGGAAGATTTGATTGATTTCCTTTCACCCTTGCGCTTCATGCGCTCAATTTTCTCCAGTTTCTTGAGCAGTTTTAGCTTTTGTTTCTTGCTCAGCGATTTGAGGAACAGCAGCTCGGGATTCTGTTGCTTGGCGGCACGCGTCGCCTCGTCCTCCTCGTCGCTGGGCACCAGCTGGTGGCGCTGCTGCACAGCCTTGATGCTTTGCAGCTCCAGGGCCGAACGCTTCATCATCAGGCCATCTTCCTTCATTTGCTCCTCGAGCACATTCTTGGACATGATGTCGTTGGCCTCCGACTCCGAGTGCAGCTTGCGCGCCTCGCTCATCGATATGCTGTACATGCTGCACTCCTTGTCCGTGTTGATGTGTCCCCATTTGTGGCACTTGAGGCAGCGCACGTTGCGCACCTGAATGCCAAAGGGCTGATCCCGAATTTCGGTGTCGCCCTTGCAATAGGATTCGCGAGGCGCATTGTATTTGCGCTGCCATTCAAACTTGTATTCCGGCTCGGCGTCGTCCTTTTCCCGCTCCTTGCGCACGCCAGGCGGCGGCTCATACATAAAATTAACGCTCAGCTTGTCTTTGCTGTCCTTGCTGAGCATGGCCTTGTTCTCGTGCAGATTCTGCTCCTTCTCATACTGTGTGCGCAGCTCCTCCTGCTTCTTCTTATATGCCTCAGCCTGCTGCTCCGCCATCCATACCTAAACATTTAATACATTTAGTAAACGATTTATTTCATAATAGACATAGTTGTCTGGCGGCTACCTACCCGCTTGAGGTTGTCCCGTGAGGCAGGATGAAAGAATTTCTTGCACATATAATTGTTGAAGCCCTTGCCCATTTTGTTGTTTTCTTAATTCCTATATTTTTGAAGTAAAAAATATTTCACAATGCGTCAATGCGTTCCCAAAATTGTATTTGTGTACGTGCTGCAGTTTAATAATACTAAAATCTATCGATAGATTTGCAATCTCTAATTTTAAAAAACAGCTAACAGTTGCTCATTTGAACGCTTTGAGCCAACTTCTGCAGTTGCTCCGATTATTTTATGCTAGTAACGTATCTTCATAAAAAGTTTCAAACAAAAAATATAGAATAATTTTACGAGTACGTGAAAAAAACTTGATTATTTCTAAGCAGCCGCGTTTGATTGAAGATCGTTTCTTGGTGATACGACAGTTTTAGTAAAAGAACTTTCGGAGCTGGATTCATAACGGAACGTTCATTTAGGCCACGCTTAAACGTTTGCCAACACTAAGCTAGTACGCCAGTACGCAATAACCTAGCTCATTTAAAATTGTGACCTGCGATCCAATTTTGAAAAATGGAAACGGATCCAAATGAAATGATTTATTGTCCCTATAACAAGGCACATAAAATGCTGCGCAAAAAACTGCAACAACATATACTGAAATGTCGGGAGCTGTACAAAGACGAGATTGAGCTGCTTGTGTGTCCATTCAACAAAGCGCATCTTATACCAGAGCCAGATTTTCTAGTAAGTGGCACGCTCGAGTCGATCAACTTGCATCTTGCTCTAATCTCCAGAGGCACACACACACACACACACACACACACCTTGCAGGCACACACAAGATCATGCATCGATCGCAAAATCATTGCGCATTATCAGCACAGTGCACCCGCTGAGCTGACGGAAGATACAAGACACGAAAAAATCGAAACGGAAGAAAACTGGGATGACGACGATGTGCCCGACTATAATCCACAGTTGTACGTTGCCACGGCAAATGTTGTCCGTGAGCCGAACGGCATGTTCCCCTCACAGCGCAAGGCATTCATCAAGGCGGAGCGGAAGCGTTTGCTGGGCCAAGACAGCGACGACGAAGCCAACGAGAAGACCCAAAGCAGAGGAGGACCAGGCAAAGCCACTTGTCAGACATCGCAACGCTCGGCGCCCTACAAGTTGCCAAATCGCCAGCGCTAAGCTAGAAGGAACTCGAATTTATAGCCAAAGTTTAAATATATAAAACATAATTATTTAATGCATGCATACAATCTATATGTATATATAAAATCTGCTGGAATTTATTGTTTTTCAGCAAAACGTCGGCGTTCCTTGGCCCGAAAATCTCGGCGCACGCTCTTGGATTGCCCGTGTAGGCCGCTTGAGCGTATCACCAAGTTCTCCTCACAATAGGCACTCGGATCGTAGGTGGGCGCATCCGGTTCGTTGTCCCAATCCTCTTCACATTCGATCGAAACTTGGCTAACAGGCTCCGCCACCAGCGGCTGCTCCTCTTTCTGTGCATGCCGCTCTAAGCCGGCACGTTCCGGACATATTTTTATGTGCGCCTGCGAAAATTTCAAATGTATTCCAACGAGACGCAACAGGTGGAACATTTTACCAACCTGCAACTGTTGTGCGTCAAAGCGATGGCTCTCGTTGAAGGGGCAGACCAGCAATTTGTTCAGGTTCTCCGGATTGCGGCTGCAGCGCACCAAATGCTTTGTCAGGCGTCCGCGGAGCACAATATGCGCCTTGTTGTACGGACATGAGACGAAATCGTCAAATCGACTTGTGGACGCCATCTTTGAAACCAAATATGCTGTTACAGCGAAAACTTCGCATCATCCAAATCACAAGATCTCGATAGTTGGCAGTTCCTAACGATAACGATGTATTTTCCATTTTCTTTTCGATATTTCAATTTTCGTACTTACCCAAAATCTGCGACATGCGTTAGCTAACTGAAAATTGTTCTAGTGGGATATATGTACATATATGAAATATTTTTTACATTTGCTGAAACTATTGTGAAACTCGGCTTTGCTCCATTTTGTTGGGATAGTGTTGTAAAAAGCAAGGCTTTTTATAGAAACGTATTTTGTCAAAGTCTAGTGTTAGCTGCCTGGATACCAAAAACAAGAGTTGTAAAGCACCAACTAAATTAAATAGTATTTGTAGTATGGGGAAGAAAACATACACCCCCCTCTCCGCCCTAGGTTTCAAATCCAACTCCACTACTTTGTACAATTTTTATGACCGAAATTCTTGATGTCACAGTCAAGGTTTTATCTTTGTATTACCATAATATAGCTTCAATTGCTAAAAATCGAAATTTTGATGCGCTGACGCGGCAAATGAAAAAGAAATAGATTTGTAATTTACAAATATTGGGAAAATTCAACTCTTCTTTATTGTTAAAGAATTGCGGCATTTTCTCACACTTCACACAATTTCGTTTTCTCATTGACACTAAGCGTTACGGTAAAAACTGTAAACAGTGGCGTTGGCATTGGATGTTATTGTTGCTTTTGCTGCTGCTGCGCTGCTGCTGCTGCACATGTTACTGTTGTGGTTGGGGGTGCTTGGGAGATTTACGCTGTCTCCATGGGCTGAGCGGCAGTCTCCTCGGTGTATTTGCCCTTGTCCTTGCCCAATGCAGCCAAACGTCCCTTGCTGCGACGCTCCAAAATGGCCTTGCGATCCTTGTCGAGCTTCAGCTTAACAATCAGCACTTTGCTGGGATGAATGCCAACATAGACATTGGTGCCGTTGGCATTCTCACGCTGGATCTTCTCAATGTAAACGACGAACTTCTTGCGGTACGCCTGCACCACCTTGCCCACCTGGCTGCCCTTGTTGTGACCACGGATCACCTGAACCTCGTCGTCACGGCGAATGGGCATAGAGCGCACGTTGTACTTCTGACGCAGCTCCTTTGAGAGGGGGGCGGACATCAGGCGACGGCGGATGTGTGAGGGAGCCTGGAAGTGACGCTTGCGGTTCTTCCTGCGCGACGACGACACAAACTTGTTCAATTTCATCTTGGTTGGTTGTGCTGGCTACGGAAACGTTAAACAATTGCAATGATTAGCAACATTTATATGAAAATTTCAAAAGTTTTGCATTTGCTCATAATTTGCATTTGTTTATTTTCGCGGGTCGATATTCACATATCAAACAGAGGAAAACCGACACAATTTCACTTAAATAGTGTGTGCCACTGCGTGTACTACACATTTTAATTATTAACTCGCCAAAATAAACAATGATGGCTGAACAAATGCGAAATTATATTGAACATGGAAACTTACACCAAACTACCGTCGTAACAACAACGAAAAGAAAGAATTTTGACAGCTGCGACCGGCGGAAATGTCAAAATTGAGTACTCAAAATGGTTACTATACGCTTTGCAACACTGTCGACTAGCGTTGCCACACAAAGTGGCAATGATTGCGTACATAACATGTACATCATCCGCATTCGGATAGGAATTAAAAAATGAATTGGAATTGTTGAATAGTTGAGTTTTTTAATAACATATATATTAACAATAATTGTAATAATCGCAATTAATTTCGCAAATGAAAACTCTTAATAATAATTTTATTTTAGTGTTGATTGGAATACTTTCTTATCAGTGTTGATCTACATAAAATGTTTTATAAACACATTAATCACGCTTTTTGTAAAAGCACCGTACCATGCATAACGGTCGCACGCTTTGAGCACACTTGCTGTGTTGAGTTTGTGCTCTGAGAGCTTTTTAATTCTTGATTTTCTTCTTACTGATCGCTAACCGAAATCTGCCACTGGAGCCTAATTGGAAATTAGTCGCGCGTGAGAAGTCAACTGAAGCAGTTGTGCGTGGGAAGAGCTCAAAATAGTGTCCAGTTTTCAGTGTCTCAGGTTGATTGAATTTACTGCTTTCAGTACATAACACATACACATACACACACACACATACACATACTCATACACAAGATGATGAACAGCCTGAAGAAGTTGCCCATGCGTATGGTAAGTAAATGCCACGCCTCCACAAATATCCCAGCTAATTATGAATTTGAATTCTTTGAATGTCTTTTATAGCTGGCCAATGCAGCACGTCAGCAAAACGCCGCCATGTCCTCGGCGACGGGCCTGCCTCCCCCGTTGACATACCTCACCGACGACGAGAAGATGATGAAGGAGACAGGTGAGTCCTGCCACTAGGCTATACTATATACAATATGTACGCTAAGCCCTTGCCTCTTAAGTTAGCGTGTTTGCAGTCGGTGCACAAATAATTTTTAGATCAGTTTTTTTTTGTGTTGCTTTCAACATCGGTTTTTGTTACGTAATTTAATCATCGCATATTTTAGTATTTAGTTATTAATTATTATAAAAATTAAGTTACAGCTGCCCATTTGGCCAGCACAATTAATGCATTTTATTAGTATTTTTTTTTATTCGGTTTCTAAAAAAATGTGTATGTGTGTGCGCGCTGATAAAAAAAAAAAACTGTACATGCTTTGTTTGACAATGCGGTGGGCTGGAGGACGTGTGAGGGCGGAGGGCGTGTGCCAGATGGAAGATAAGCGTATTCTAGTTACGATTGTGGAAAAATTGAATGAAAAATGAATTTTCAGCACATATACATATATATAATTTTACATATGACGTATATGTATATGTACATACATATATATAACATTACATATGACGTATGGCGTGTGCAGACATATCCGTTAACATAAATATGTGTATGTCCTGTGTGTATGGCACACATACATATGTATAACGTATATATACATATACGCATTAATATAAATATGCATGTATATGTACTTGTGCGTATATATACATGCATATACACACACATATATATTTTTTGCTACCTTAGCGCTTTATATGGTGTTTGCGGGCATTTATTTAAATTAATCAATTTACTCAATAAAGCCGGTCAGTTATATAATTTTCGACTGTTAAACGCGCTTTGAAGTTCAGTTTAGCTGAAGGAGCGTTATTCAAGGATAACTGTATCCTTGCATAACAATTTGCTTCTGCGCAGCTTTTATCCTTAGCTAAACGTGGCAAAACGCCTTAAATCAGTTTATATCATAAAAATATTTAATTTAATTTATTTGATTTAATTTTCTTTTAAATAACAATTCTCTTTGCTGCCAACGTGGCATTTTTGAGATGTATTTATTTTGTTTTTTATATAACTCAAGATTTATACACATTTCAAACACGCGAAGACAACAAACAATATTTGCATTTCAATTTTCACTTTTTGTTCTACTATTTCCACAATTGCGACGCGGCTAAAAAACAATAAACATAACACCGCACTGAGGGGTATGAGTGTGTGTGTTTGTGTGTGTGTATGTGTGCGCTAAAAATAGTTGCGTCGCAGCCGCTTTAACAGCATTTGTTTTCGACAGCGTAGCTGGCTGGACGTCGCTGGCGCAGCGCGTTAAGTTGCTGCCTTAGTAAATGTTTTATAAAGCTCGAGTTGGCTGAAGAGTCGCATGTTCGAGTGTGGGCAGCGGCAGCAATGAAAGAAGAATGAGAGAGAGATAGGAAAGAAAAAGATAAGAGCGCGTTGAGGGTTTTTAAGGATCATTTCTCTTTCTAATAAATTTCCCTTTATCAATTTGGGATCTGTTCACAAGTCAGTCAGCTGTTCAGTTGTAATTTACATGAACTCCACAGCGTTACACTTGTGATAGAGCAAATAATGCGGCTGTGCCACGCCTCCGCCCATTGTGTCCACTGTTCTAGTGGCGCGCGGGCAACGGATGTGCGAGGCACTTGGTCGCGTAATTCGCCTAGAGAGTTGAGTCAGTGGAGGAGGGAGGTAAAAGTCCTGAAATATGTACCGCTGATTCCTAGTTGGAGAATTGACATATATATATATGTATATGTGTATGTATTTATTTTTCCATAGATAACAAATTTAAATATTAATTGCATTAGGCGGGCGAGGGGGTTCAAGGTGCGACCTGTTGCATGATCTGATGTACATATATGTACATATATACACTTATCAAAATGTTGCGTAACAACTACAGCATGCAAAGTGATCCAGTGTTTGCGGTAAACCAGTTTCAGGAAAACACCTTGGGAAACTTGACAATAAAATGAAAAAAAAAAAAAAGAAAACGTAAGCGCTTTAGAACAGTTTATCGGTACAGTTGCCTCCAAACAAAAATGATATATGTACATACATACATACATACTTGATAAAATGTTAGGCAAATACGCAATTTAAATTAAATTAACTCAATTAACACCATCTGAGCGCAAGGACAGCGCCAGGACAACAGCTGTCAGCTAGTGCATGCACTCTCAGGTGGTTAGTTTGCAAATACAATAAAAGATTAATAAATGCTATTAATTAATCAATTTTTCCAACTATGGCAAAAAAAATTAGCATTAGTTAGCAAAGTGGGCGTGTGCACGGTGTCCACAGCAGCATTTGTTGGCTTTCCGAGCGAAACAACGCGTCAAATAAAAATGTCTCAGAGATACCAATAAAAAACAATAAAAATGTGCAATACATACATACGTATGTACATGTATAATAGATGGGTGTATGTATGTAGGCGCAGGCAGAACTATCGGAAGAGAGAGAAAGAGAGAGAGAGAGAGCGGCACGTTGAGAGAGCGCCACACGAGCTGAGAATCAGCGGCATTATTGATAAAGCGGACACACGCGTAGACACGCACACAGCAATAAAACAAGCTCTCACACACACACACACACACACACACATGCGCGCACACAGCAGCACTCAAATAGAAGCGTTATGGGAACCAGTTTATTTTAACGACTTTTAAAGCTTGTTAGAAAGCTTCCTTAACGGAATATAAATAAAACACAAAGCTTATTTGAAGCTCACCGATCTTATTAATAACTGTGCGCTTTTTTGAACTAAGACTAGAAAAGCTCGAAAGCTTTCGTGGAAAAGTTTTATCTTTGCTTATCTCCCATTGGGTAATAAAAGAAACAAGAGTCAATAAATTAAGAGCTTTTATGGCCGTTATATATTTATTTGATGGATCTTTGGATTGTTGCGTTCGTTTGCAGTTGCCAAATTGGCCCAGGATCAAATCCTGCCGTTGGTCAAGAAAATGGATCTTGAGCACAAATTCGATCCGTCCGTGGTGAAGGCCGTCTTCGAGAATGGCCTGATGGGCATTGAGATTGACACGGAACTGGGCGGCAGCGGCTGCAATTTCATGACCAACATCATCGTGGTCGAGGAGCTGTCCAAGATCGATCCGGCGGTGGCAGCTTTCGTTGACATTCACAACACATTGGTCAACTCGCTGATGATCAAGTTTGGCAATGCCGAGCAGAAGGCAAAGTATTTGCCCAAACTGGCCCAGGAATATGCCGGCAGCTTTGCGCTGACGGAGCCGGGCGCAGGCTCCGATGCCTTCTCACTGAAGACTGTGGCCAAGAAGGATGGCTCTCACTATGTGTTGAATGGCACCAAGATGTGGATCTCCAACTCCGATGTTGCTGGCGTTTTCCTCGTCTTTGCCAATGCCAAGCCCGAGGATGTGAGTATATCGCATCATTTAACTGCCATGAATCCATAATTAATCCCAATCTCAATGCTATATTTGGCAGGGCTATCGTGGCATTACCACCTTCATTGTGGATCGCGAAACTCCCGGTCTGATTGTGAACAAGCCCGAGGATAAGCTGGGCATTCGCGCCTCTGGCACCTGCATGATCACCTTCGACAATGTGCGCGTACCCGAGGAGAATATCCTGGGCACCTTCGGACATGGCTACAAGTATGCCGCTGGCTTCCTGAACGAGGGCCGCATCGGCATCGGCGCCCAGATGGTGGGCCTGGCCCAGGGCACCTTCGATGCCACCATTCCGTACCTGCTGGAGCGCAAACAGTTCGGCGACGCCATCTACAATTTCCAGTCCATGCAGCACCAGATCGCCACGATTGCCACAGAGATCGAGGCGGCACGCCTGCTCACCTACAATGCGGCGCGCCTGCAGGAGGCGGGCGTTCCGTTCCTAAAGGAGGCGGCCATGGCCAAGTTCTACGCCTCAGAGGTGGCCCAGCGTGCGGCCACCAAGTGCATCGACTGGATGGGCGGCGTCGGCTTCACGCGCGACTTCCCCCAGGAGAAATACTATCGTGATGCCAAGATCGGCGCCATCTACGAGGGCACCACCAACATGCAGCTGAGCACCATTGCCAAGTGCGTCAAGAAGGAGTTCTCGGGCTAAGCTATACAATCCGAGCCCCCTAATCCCTAAGTCTACATATATAAAGCTGAGATATCGTACGTCAGATACGTCAAGTGCATTTAGCTGGGCTGGCGAATGGTTTCTATCGATCGTTGCCAACGCATTTACAACAATTTTTTTCCTTGTTAACTTGTAAATACAATTTAATTGTAAAAAGAAACACACACACACACACAAAGGGGAGAGCATTTTAATAATTTAATTCGCATGTCCGTCGGTTGTGGTAAATGCAGCCAGCAGCACATTGATAACAGTGATAAGAAAAACGCCCATCACAAGCCCCTCGTTGGTTCGCATATATCGTCGACTGCGGCAGCGTTTCAGGCGGCGCTGTTGATGGACTCCCGAGTCTGTTAGCTGAATTCAACAAACAACAATATATATATATAACACATTGGCATACCTTAAAGATCAATGCAATGCCCACGAGCACCTGGAGCACCAGCGAGAGTATGACCAGCACCAGGCTGCAGTAGAACGTGGAAGCCTCATGATTGTAGGTGATCAGGAAGCGCAGCTGATTTGCATTTGCCGAGAGCAGGGCTATGTCCATCAGACCTGTAAGTGCAAAAAATCTTAATATAAATTTTCCATTCTATCCAAAATACATCTAAGTACACGCTTGTTCATCCAAGCTCAGGCAAGGTTCAAAATTATTTTAAAGTTATTAATTTATTGTTCTTACTTCTAAATTGAAAGTTTAAAAGTCAGACCTTAACCTTATTCTTTACAAAACAAAGGTTTCCCCCACATTTTCCGCGGTTATTCCACTGGGAAATGCGTATTTCGCAATTGGCAATTGAGGTTAGGTTAGATTTAGAAGAGGTAACAAAAATAACTTAATGTTTTTAGTTTATGCTCTAAGACTTTAACTAATTCTTTACAAAATAAGTTTTTCACCCATTTTCAGCTGTTATTCCACTCGGGAATTCCTATTTCGTAATTGGCAATTGAGGTTAGGTTAGATTAGTTGATTGGAAGCTGATTGTGAACTGATAGAAAAGCTCTTTCGAGCTTTATATTTGTTATACCCATCCATATTTCAGTGTTCCACTTACCCTCGGCTACATTTTTGCTAGTCGCATAGTTATGTCCACCGGATAATTCGCTGGGACTATTTTTGCCCTTGGCCTCGGCTGTGGCAGCCACATCATTTAGCTGCACTGCCTGCCGATCGTCCAATTCGTGCTCTGGGCCACAGCATTGTCCTGCCACGGTGCTGGCAAAGCTGCCCTCGGAGCTGAGCGCATCCTCGATCTCGATGACCTCCTCGCTGACGCTGACCATTCGCACAAATCTGGCTCAGCTGAGCGTTTTAATTGCCCAACTACTTAGCTGAATGCGATTAACAACTGAAATTATATTTACAACATTCTGAAGCTTTTTTGTGCCATTTGTAAACATTCATTGAAAGTTGCGGTTGTCCCGTTTTGTGGTCACTTCTCACTGATAACAAGAACCAGGCCCCACTGTACTGTGCGTTCCACACATGCCGCATAGCTGCCGACTCCCAGTCCAAACATGTGGGGTTCATGTCCGGGCACTGAACAAACAGCCCAATTGTATGCTACATTTTTTTGGGGCGCCCCCATAACTGGGCCAGCGCTGAAGACAGCCACACAAAAACGTTGCAGTACGTATCCATGAGATACTTTTGCTGGGTTGACGCCAGGCTGGCTAGCAAATATTATTTGCAGCCTTGGATTTGATTGGGGCTTAGGCTATAGCGGTCTAAAAGGTTACGGTATAATTTTAAATATTAATAGATCTGTTTTAAATCAGGCCACTGATTTCTTGAGCCAAAATAACAGCTGTCAAAAAGGTCACCCAAAGCGAAGCTAAATACAACTTCGCGCTAACAGCCAAATGCGAGGGTCGCTCAATAAAAACCGGCTTGTCTTATGCAACCCATGCACATGCTGTAAATAGACGGAAATTGAATTTGATATGAATATTCCGCACACGAACTTGGCATGATATATAAGAGGTCTATTAAATGGGATTACTGAAACCTGATAAGAATTTGGCATTAAGTGAGCTATTGCAATCAGATGTAAGTATTTTTAAAAATGTTATTTTCCATTCATCTTTGTATGTATACATATACATATAACAATTGGGGCATAATGGTTGTTAAATAACTAGTTTTTCTTTTTTCGTACTCAACTAATATAAAATTGCTTTATTTATATTTTATTTGCTACAATTTGATTTCGTTGAAACTCCCCTCGCTCTGCAGGAGCAAATGCGTCACGAGTAACGGCTAGCAGACGCAAATCCACCCCAGTGTTGGTTTTCCCATGCACACGATATAACGCATCCCTTTTCCCACCACACAGCCCAGTTTTGCTCAGACAGCAGTCAATACTCCCACGCCACCATGGCTACCGCCTCTTATCGCTCCCTCTGTCTCTCTCTCTCTCTTCCTTTCATTCTGTTTCTCCCGTTCTGCCAGCCTCAGCCTGGCGCTGCACGTGTAGCGTGTTTGCCTTTTAGCCGCTTGTCCGCCGGTTAAAATTGACTTGAAAATATTTGTTTTGACTGTTGTCCCTCTCAGCAATTTACGCGCCGTCTCTCGCTCTCTTCTTGCTCTCTGTCATTGCTGCTCTCGCGGCTTCATTCATGCCGCTGTCGTCGCCGTCGCCGTCAGCGTCGCCGTCGTCGATGCACGCATGCCCCGCCGCTCCATTGGCCATTCGAGCCGAGCTAAACTGACTTTGGGTCTTGGCTTGAGGCTCGGTCGAGGTAGGTTTCTCTTGTTTGGCTTGCGGCTCTGCGTTTCAGTTCAGTTTAGTCGTTCGAAACGTTTGGTTTGTACTTTCTGGTTTCTGGTTCTGTGTTCGCTCCTCCCTGTGCCGCCTTCTGTAAGAAGTGCCGCCGTCTAACCGTGTAATACGTTAAATTCATTGATTTTCCTTCAACATTTATTTATGGACATTTGGTTTTAAGCTGCCAAATCCCGAAATGCATTACAAATATCAGCTCTGATAAACAAACTGCAAGTTTCAGCCGTGGTAAGTTGCACACGTACTAAACGCACGTGTTTCGCCCATTCCATTCAGTGAAAAATCAATGCTCCCCAAGCCGCAATGCAGTTGCCAAAAAAACAACAACACACTAAAATGTAACAATACAAGAGACCAAAGGCCTCTGGAACTGCCTTGACCTCGCAATCAGCGAGCACGAGACCCGACTCTCTCCTGCTGGGTTACCTCTTGCTCCTGCTATTTTTTTAACTGGCTCCGCTTGACCCGGCAAAACTTCAGCATAGGTAATCAATATAGGCCTTTGGCTAAGTGCCATTGCATAATTCCTCAGCTCCAGACAGTGGGACAACAATGGGTCCGTTCTTAGCTCTTTCGCCACTCGAGTGCATAATCTCATTAAAAAGAGTGCAAAGTTTCAGTTTCACGCTGATAAAGTCCGCTTTGCAATCGGTCTATATACAAACAAGTTCTACATATATATATATGTATATACCATATAAGTATGCAATTATCAGCTCTGTCTCGCTGGGATGTGCCAGAAGTGGAGCTTAGAGACCGTTTGGCTGTGCTGCTCCAGCCGGAAGGGAGAAACATGAATAAATAAGCCACAAAGACTCACTGAAGGTAGCGAGGTCTGAACTATGCTATTAGTACTCACATATCTTAGCACCTAAATATCTTAGCTGCTATGAATAGGTGGGCTGTAATGCATTCTATTAGAGAATCTAGAGAATTTTACAACAACTTTAGCTTTGTAGCATTTGCAGCTGATCGTAAGTTGATTTCATTGACATAAATTATAAATGAGCTTGTTGTTTTTCCGGAAAAACCTTTGAAACATGTTAGCTGGGAATTTCGCAAAACCTGCTCAACAATTTATCTAGTTATATCAATCTAAAGCGTCGCTCATGATGTGATAAATTTAGAACTTATTATCTACTCGTATTTTTAAATTGCTAATTTTATACTATATTAATCCATATTATAGTATATATGATATATCTTTTAAGATATCAAACTTGTCGAGTCTGGGCATTATAATAATGGATGATACAAATAATGTTGCTATTTCCGCAATATATATTTTCTAGATATTTTCTGATTTAAAGAAAAAACAAAAACTATATAGAAAAACACTTAAAGTAAGTAGAAGATTTCTCTTAACAAAAATAATGGAAACCAAGAAAAAGACTAGGCACATATGTTATATAGGGTATCTACACGTCGACTAAGTACTTGATGACAATTGCGTACATAACATTTCAAAGATAAAGGCAATAGAACAAAGTTATCTCATATGTCTAACCTATTTGCCTCGGCGAGTAACAGCTGCAGTCGGAGAAGAAACTTTGAGCAAACATAAACAGAATTATAGACAACGGGCCGTCACATTTCAATTATATATATATTTGTTATACTATTTGTTCTAGAAGCTGAGCTTTATTGTTAATATTAAATATAGCTTCGTGCGCTATTCAAAATCCGAGCACAGGTTAATTGCCTGCTAAAAACGATTGGATTAATGTTCTCTCCCCCCTATATATATATATATATGGAAATTGCAGGCAATACAATTATTAATATGAGCGTTTTATAATCGCTTGTTATTGTAATAATGGCAATTATAAATTGTCTATTTGGGCGGAAAATTGATAACTTATGCTGGACATTTGTTTCTTTTTTTTTCGTTTTTTTTTGTTATGCTCGCTGATGCGGCGAAAGTTTGTTGGGGCCGAAAAATGTTTTTGAAATTCTATATGTACTTACATACATATTTATATTTAAATTTTAGCTGACGTATGCATTTTGTATTGATTTATTATTTCGTTTTCATTGCAGGCAAAGTTTTGTGGGCAATCATTAAGCTAAACACGTATCGTACACTCAGGTATAACTAGGAACTACAACACACAATTACAAAAAAAACAAAAAAAGAACAGTAACAACAACAATAATGACGCCAGAGAAATCGGTATTAGCCTATATCAATCACCTCATAGTCAGCAATTTTTCATATTTCTGTAAGTATACCAAGTGCCAAGCTTCGATAATCTTAAGAATTCACTTTACGATATTGGAATTTGATAAGGAAACGTAGCTCCTCATTTAAATAAGGATATCATCTCGGATTTCTATGAAAATATATCCAAAAGAATTGTAGTATTTTTATATCCAGTTTTCTGCACACTAACACGTCTGAATTTCATATTCCACCTTTTTATATAATACTTTTTATACCCATGCAAAAGTTTTCGATTTTGGCGATGCCATAAAGTATTTTTATTCTTGATCAGAATCAACAGACGAGTCGTTATTTCCGTCTGTCCGCCTGTCTGTTTCTATACGATATACTCTTTTAGTTAGTAAATCTTTCTTCATATAGCTGCCATAGGAATTATCAGTCGAAAAGAAGATGCTTGTATGAAAAACTTTTTTATTTTTCAAGTTATCTTGACCCATCTCGGCACCTATTGATTGTATTATGTTCCTCATATATTTGCAAAATTCTATCAACATGGGACTACCATATCACATAGCTGCCTTAGGAACGATCGGTTTAAAAATAAGTTGTTGTATGAAAAACTTTTTTGTTTTTCAAGATATCTTGACCAAAATCGCCACTTATGAGTTTCACTATGTTCCCTACACTTGTGGAAAATCTTATTTACATCGGACCACTATATCATATCGCTGCCAGAGGAACAATCGGTCGAAAATAAGGTTATTGCATTGTTTTTCAAAATATCTTAACCATACTCGGCATTGACTATTTTCCTGTGCTTCTTAGATGCGGGCAAGCCACTAAAAATATTATGAAAAGTGTGGGTCTGCAAGGGTATTAAGTCTTCGGCGTGCCAAAGATAGCCCTTCCCGTTTGTATATTTTAAAATGTGAATTACTCCTATGTCAATAACTCGTCAACTGGCGCTTGTAATTTTTAACAAATGGCCTTTTGCAGTGGACGAAATCGATGGGTATCTGTATTATTTTGGCGGAACCTTGGGCACGCTGACCCTGACCAGCGTTGCGGCCAGTATTGCCTATTACCTGGTAACGCGACCAATACCGGAAAAACCATTAGTGCCTCTGGAAAATCAATCACCATTGCTGGAGGTAAGAATGCACCGCCTTAATGCAGTTTATTTATTCTTTTTTGCTCGATTACCCACTTGCCACTGCCACTGCGGCCATTACATCATCAATTTGTCAATTTGTTTACCTTAAGTTTTCTATTTTGATACCCTGTTGCCACAGCAAATGAGGTTGATCCAATAACTGGCAGAGCATGAGACATTTTCGCTGGCGACAATCTCAGAGACTATTTATAAGAGTTTTCAAGCAGAAGAAGTGTGAACTGAATACTTTAGAGAGACGTTATAGCTGTTATCGATAAAAACAGGCTAGAAATCGATTAATAAATAGAAAGAAATCTACATTCATTTATATTTTTATTTGAAAACGATCTATATAAGTCCCAGGGTACAGGGTATCTGCTAGTCGAGCACTCTTGACTATACATCATTCTAGCTAGTTGCTTTTGTTCTTGATTTTTTATTTGTTGAGGTAAAACAGAAGTCTTTGGTCGGCCTTTGATGTACACATGTCTCTGCTTCTAGTTTGCTGCTGTTGTCGTCACATGATGTTTCACTTGGATTTTTCATTGTGAGCCATTTGTTGGCTCTATTCTGGTTTCTGGTCTATTTTTGCCATGACGCGTCTGCTACCGTGGTGCAAATATTCAAATCCCACGCTCCAATTGTCGGCCTATACGAATGCCACTTGCCAAAATGTGCAATATTCATGTTTCGTTGACGTTGTCGCTGTTCTTGCTAATAATTTATCAAGTGCCGTGCCATAAATCATGTCATGGCTCAATTGGTATAGTCTTTTGCCTTAATTAGTCGGCTGCAGCTCAATTGTTGCTAATTCGATAATAGTTCGATGTATGCAAATTGTTGTAAACATTTGGCAAATATGCATTTATTGACACTGCCGACAATTGTTAACTTTTGACCGTGTGCAAGTTCATTTCTCTTTTGTTTATTTCATTGTAAATAAACAATATCCGCACAGATTTTGACATGTAAAACAAACAATTTAGCCACACACAAGCAATAAGCACACAACAATGGCGCGAAATTCAGGAAAAATGGCCGCAAGCAGCTGATATCGATAAATTATAAGCAATAAATACCGTTACTGCACACACAAAGCATATAATCCGACTAGGTGGCAACGCCGCGCAATTAACGAATGATAACAAACAGAGAGCACAACACACACACACACACACAAACACAATACAATAAGGAAATGTGCACGTAATATAATTATGCACATATTTACAGCTGAGTGACAGGACAGGGACAACCTGTCTGCCGATGCAACGGTAATTTCTAGCGCCCACTTGGCACATTCTCATTTAAAATGTTGTGTGAATTACGAATGCGAAAATGCAAATTGGGTTGCTTATTAAATATCAAATAAATCACATATGTCAATTGATTTTGAATGTGCAATTAATTTTATGTGTGCGTAATGAAGCGAAACGTAAACAATCAGTGCAAATCATAATTTGCCTTGGAGACTCGACAATTATCTTGATTATTTGAGGTTAGAATTGAACGTGCGAGTTATCGATTAAGTGTTGTACAAATCATTTAGAATTAGAATTCGAGAAGTGAGGTTAAAAACGAGTTGTTTAAAGTTAAATGCAGCAATAAAATGCCTATTTAACAGGATTAAAGGCTTACCAAATGTGAATTCTTTTAATCACCACATGGCAGCAAATTCATTTATGAAACCAAAACAAATAATTTTTATGTTTATTTAAGTTTAAAATTGGAATCAATACCTTGCTCCTGTTATTAATCATAAATCATATTGCCCGCACATCAAAGGGCCTTCGAACCCAAATTCCCTGACACAAACATGTTAACATAAACCCCCCTCGCCAATAACCCCCGATCGGAACCACCTACCCCAACGACGACGACGACGTCACATGCCAGCCCCTGTGATCGCAGATCGCGTGCACATAGCAGAGCATCGCAGGCGGGTGGAGGCGGAGGAGACATCTTGATCAAGCCAAGAAGCGGGCATAATAATGGCAAGACAAGCTATATGTGAACGGCAAAACCGTTTAATATGAAAACTATAAACGAATAAAATTCCTAGGCATGCCCCTCCGCAATCCTTCCCAGAAACCATCTCCGAAATAGCCAACGATTTGATATAAAACACTCAGACGTTCTCTCGGCTGGCGAACTGTTAAAAATCTTTAGCCAAAATCATTTTTAGCCACGAGATTTGCCGTTCAGTCCGAAATTCAGCATCGTGTCGTCGAGATCTGCTCTAAAGAAAAGCAGCCAAGAAAAACTATATAAAATAGAATTTCGTCTGCTAACACAAAAAGCAACATGTACATATCGTATATATATGTATAAGTCACGCAATATATTCAATTTTTTTTTGTATATAAATAATAGCTCGCATATACTAAATATTATTATAAAGCGAACAGAAGAACAAAAAACACACACACACACACATACGAGTGGCAACAAATTGACGAAAATACGGTCGTTTAATCATTACGTAAAACGCGGGCCAAAAAATTGAATTCATAAAAAATATATATATATTGAGAAAATAACATATTTAAATGCTCAACGCCCATTTGTCAAAGTGTCAAAGTGCCGATGTCTTCGCTCTATTGCCTGGGCCTGTAAACCCGAACCGCGCAAGTTCAAGATCGCGACGCTGTTTTTACTAATACGGGCGAAAGGCCACCGCCCAGTCGATCTATAAAAAAAAAAAAAAAAAAAAAACAAAAAAAAAAAACAAAAAGTAAAATGAAAGAAAACTTATCAGAAATGAAAACAGAGAAACATGCATAAAAATCAGCTTTAATCGCATCGTTGAAATCATTTTCTTTCTAATTCGCGTTGATATATGGCTTAATTAGTAATAAATTATATTTTGCAGTTAACTTGCGATTCGAACAGGTGCAAAGGCTACTCTAGGTGTTTACTAAATAAACGGTGTGCCGAAATACTGAAACACTGCCATGTGCGTTTAATTGAAGCCTGGCAATGAAACATTTTGGGCAAATGGGCAGAAGCCATTAGAAATGTCTCATCATTTATGCATTAGGCCAGCTGCTGTTATTTGTTTGGAATACTCAAGTGCTGCTCTTTTAATAACAAGCATTACATCAGGAATTTCAGAAATTCAATTACTTTGTAGGAACTTAGACAAAATTCGGACAGTCTTGTGTCTTACGAACGCTCAATCTTACTCAATTGGAAAACTGTCGGAAGACTCTGTGAAGAAAGTAAAAATCTTGAAAAATTAAATTGAAAATATATTTTGAATTTACGCAAAGATGCCATAAATAAAATAAATTATTTGAACTATTCCTTAAGATAATGCTGTTTATTTATAAAATTATGGACTTTAAACTGATATTATTAGAGAGAGAAGAAAAGGAGAATTGGGCTGTTTATACTATTCTAGAAATTACTTTTTAATTTTGGACTCAATTTTTATTAAGAAAAGTATATTTTAAGTTTACAAATGCCCGTTCTACTGAGAATATTGCAATCCCTGGATATTTTCATATCGAACATTCGGGCTATATTTGAGCTCTACCGCAGCTAACAAATAGTTTTAGATATATCCAATCTTTAGGGTCTTATCAGGCTGAGGCTAGCTGAAAAGTATTTCCAAATTATTTTTCGGTTCGGATCAAAAACAAATTGAACCCATTCACAATTAGCCCGCATTAGCCATAGTTTATGGCATTTTTATGGCAACTACAATTACCATAATTTCAAATAATAATAATGCCCCATTGATATTACTCAAACTTCCAATGCCTCAGAGGCAGCCCAACGAGCCGCAATCGCCTTTCCCATGACTCAGGCCCGTTCTAGCATCGGATCCTATATATATATATATATATACGGATTTTTTTGTTTCTGTTTGAGTTGTGCAAAATATTTGACTATCTATTAAAATTGTGTTGTTTGTGTGTGTTGTTGCCTCTCTTTTTGTTGTGTGTTTTGACCGAAAGATAACAACAGAACAACAGAACGACTATTTTTAAACATTTGGGGCAGGCCAACCAAAAGTCGGACGCCTCGTCGATATATCGACTGAGTCTGGGCGGGGTCGGCGATTGGGAACTGGGAACTGGGGGCTGGGGATTGGGGATTAGGGCTACGGCCGGGTGCAGTTTGACAGCATTAAATAATTATTGAGAACGGAATTGACAGCAGGCGCCATAATTATAATTCGCCTTTGATCCGAAAAATTAAAATAAAATATATAAATAAATAGAACGTAGAGAAAGAAAAAAAATCGCAAACTTTGATTCGATTTGCAGCTATTTTGGAAAATGTGCATATTAAACGCGACAACGTCTGCTGAACTGAATAATATATAATATATATACATATATATATATATATATATAAAAGTGAGCTCGCTCTCTATCTGTTCAAACAAATTCGGGCATTAAAGTCGAATAAAGCAATAAACCTGTGAATTATAGTGTTTAAATCTTAAACAAAAACAATGTCTTGTTGCGGCCAAATAACCACCGTGCGCGTGCCCATCGAACTGAACAATCAGAGCGATGTGCTCAAGGTAAACACAACTGGGAATCAATATGCCCAAACAACTTCCGAATTCCCCCTTCCCACCCAAAATAAAACAAAGAACCAAACCTAACCCTGCTTTCTTGAAGATTCACGCCAAACTAATCAAAAACTATTTTTTGCTTCTTTTTATCTTTGTGTTTTTTTTTTTTCGTTTATTTTTTATTACTCTCACACATATTTTGTTCCCTTACCCCGCGGCCAGCTTAAATACGATCCGCAGCTAGACACACAGCACAGGGTAGGCGTGGCATGCCCCTAGGGGTAGGCAGCCTTATTTTCATTCAAAAATATCTATTCGCATCTAAACAAATCGATATCGCAATTCTAACTTAAAAAGCCAACGCATTATGATTATAGTTTTATAACCAACCAGATTTTTAAACTCATTCAAAATAAACAAAAACCATAATAAAAGGGCTTTCTTCGGCACGTCGAAGATTTAATACCCTTGCAGACCCAATCCTTTCATAATGCTCTAAGAAGCACAGAGAAAATAGTAAATTAGTAAGTTTGCATGCAAGAACCTTCTTTTCGACTGATGCCGAGTTTGGTAAAGATATCTTGATAAATAAAAAACTTTTTCATACAACAACTTACTTTTCCACCGATTATTTCTATGGCAGCTATATGATATAGTGGTCCGATGTTGATAGGATTTTGCAAATATATGAGGAGCATAGTAAAACTAATAAATGCCGAGTTTGGTTAAGATATCTTGATAAACAAAAAAGTTTTTCATACAAGAAACAAGCCTGTTGGAGTCAGAGATGTGTCCGTCTATGCGTTACAAATTTCACGACAAAGTTATAAGCGGGCTGCAAGGGTATTAAAAGTACCCTCCCCCCACTAGCCCAATCAGGTTCCCCCTAAAAGCCATCGGGCACTTTGGTCTATTTTGAATACCATTTTCATGCCTCAACACACTTGCCATAGTCCAATTTTCTATTCGCAGCTGTTCGCCATAAAGGAAGTGGCCTATTGCAATATAGTTTAAGTCGATCGCACTTTGCACCTACTATATCTCCGATTGACGTTCGTTTCGCACTCATTTTAATTGGCGATTGATGGTTTTATGCTTTCGGCCCAAAATAAACCATAGATCATGCCAATTGAATTTCCAACATCAACTAGAATCACTTTTTGGCTTATGTCCATCATTGCAAACAGATTTATTGGCTGGAAAAACCGCAAAACAATTTGTTTTTACGTCTGTCCGAAATTGTATTTGGCCGGCGACAAAATAAAATAAACACAATTTATTTAATGTTTCAAGTAAATTAATATTTATTGAAGTAAAAGAAAAATATGTAAGACAAAAAAAAGGAAAATAGCAAAAACTAAGCGCAAAGATAATCTTTGAGGCAAATTGGGAATACTTAAAGAATAAAATGAGGATTTTCTTATAACTATTTTTATTTTAAGATAATAAAATACTTTAGGCAAAGCGAACAAATCCAGTTTAAATGAAAAAATATCGCGCAAAATTATGCAAAATATTGAAGGGAAACTTAGATTCTATATATACAACATATATATACAAAAATTTGAATGCTAGATTACCATGATAATTTTAATATTATTCTGGGCAAGTTCAGTTTGCGAATCGAACCAGCATCCTGCATTTAGGTGCCCTGCTTGAGCCTGGCTTTTTACATTCATGAGTCCAGGTTTTGTTTATATATGTATATAGAAATATGGTTAAACAGATTCCGATTCGCAAGCCCTTGATCGCTTAGGAATGTAATTCCATGGATATTTCTGGACGAGAATGTGGTTCGATTCAAGGATAACTGGTTTGTTTTAAGGCTCTCGAATTATTTAAAACTTTGGATCGATTCAAATAGTTGGGCTTTAATTCGGATAAAAAGGCTATACGAACAGTTTTTGGAAAGAACATTTAGCAAAAGATCGCACATCATAATGTACTTATAATCCTAGAATAATACCATATTGACTTAAACATTGCCCTGACACAGTCATCAGACTATTCATAGTCTGTTTTCTGCCATCGAGAATCTCTTCAAATCCTTCACTCATTTTGCATGCGACACGATTTGTGTTCTTTTTTTCCGTTTGTTTCCAACTGTGTTGCAGGGTCCAGAACAAATACACGTCTCCAAGTTCTACAAGGAGTCCAAGAATGGCAAATTTGTATCCTACATCACAGAGAATGTGCGCACGTTGTACCAGACGTTCCGTGAAGGTGCCTACGCCTCCAACAATGGACCCTGCCTCGGCTGGCGGGAGACCCTCACGTCGCCCTATCAGGTGCGTGCCGAATATCCAATCCCATGCTCCACACTCTTTGGCTAATGAGTATTCCGTTTTACAGTGGATTAACTATGATGAGGCGCTGCTGCGTGCCAAGAACTTTGGCTCCGGGATGCTGGCATTGGGCGCACGGCCCAAGCAGCTGATCGGCATCTACTCACAGAACCGGCCGGAATGGATACTGTACGAGCAGGCATGCTACTCGTTCTCCCTGGTTGTGGTGCCTCTGTACGATACACTGGGCCCGGATGCCTGTGCCTTTATCATACGCCAGACGGAAATGTCCATTATTATTGTCGAGGACGATGCGAAGGCGTCCATGCTGCTGGAGAAGGCGCCGCGCAGCCTGAAGATCATAGTTTCCATTAAGCCCATACGCCAGACGACACTGGAGCGTGCGCGCAGTCGTGGCGTCCAGATCTTCTCCTTCATCGATGTGGAGAAACTCGGCGCCAAGGGCAATCATCCAGAGGTGCCGCCCACATCGGAGGATCTGTGCACGGTCTGCTATACCTCGGGCACCACTGGCAATCCCAAGGGCGTGATGCTCACACACGGCAACGTGGTGGCCGGCGTCTGTGCGGTGATCCTGCAAATGGGTGATCATCGCATCCGGGCCGGAGATGTGATGATTTCCTTTCTACCGCTGGCGCACATGTTCGAGCGCTGCTGCGAGAATGGCATCTACTATGTGGGCGGCTGTGTCGGATTCTATTCCGGCGACATCAAGGAGCTGACCAACGACCTGAAGATGCTGAAGCCCACGGTTATGCCGGCCGTGCCGCGTCTGCTGAATCGGGTCTACGACAAGATACAGAACGATATATCCGCCTCAAGTCTGAAGCGCGGCCTCTTCAATATGGCACTCAAGGCCAAGGAGAAGGAGATCGCGCGCGGCGTGCTGCGCCGCAACGGCTGCTGGGACAAGCTGGTCTTTAAGAAGGTGCATCAGGCCTTCGGCGGCAATCTGCGTCTGATGGTGGTCGGCTCTGCGCCGCTGGCCGGCAATGTGCTGACTTTCATGCGCTGCGCCCTCGGCTGCCTGGTGCTGGAGGGCTACGGCCAGACGGAGTGCACGGGCGCCATAACGCTGACCGTGCAGGGCGACCATGTGCCCAATCATGTGGGTCCGCCCGTCTCTTGCAATGCCGTCAAGCTGGTCGATGTGCCCGAAATGGAGTACTTTGCCAATCAAAACACCGGCGAGGTCTGCGTGCGCGGCTCCAATGTGTTCCACGGGTAAGCAGCCAGCTATTCCAATTGTGGCACTTACTTCTAATAAACGTGTGCACCTGCAGCTACTACAAGGATGCAGAGAAAACGGCCGAGGCCATCGATACCGAGGGCTGGCATCACACAGGCGACGTCGGCATGTGGCTGCCCAATGGAACACTGCGCATCATCGATCGGCGCAAGCACATCTTCAAGCTCAGCCAGGGCGAGTATATTGTGCCCGAGAAAATTGAGAATATCTACACATTGAGCCAATATGTCAACCAAGTCTATGTCTATGGCGAAAGCTTAAAGGTAAGTCCAACAGGGGTAAGGTCTAAGATTAGATATCAACGTAAATGCAATCGAAAGTACGAACTCATCAAGATAAAAGGAGGATTTTAGTCAGCTTTGTTAGTTTCGTTAATTTATCTAAGTTGTGAAAAGATTATGACTAGATAGATGCAAAGGATTCAAGTACAATCAATTGTGGGTGAACGTTTAATTTTCTAATTCAAAATACTTCAAGAAACATGGAATTTTTGTCAAAAAATACCATACTTAAAAGTGGAAAATGAGTGGAAATGGCAACAATTTGAAGAGAATGCTGATAAATGAAAGTGAAAAATATTTAAAGTGATTTAAATTTAAATTCAATTTATGAAAATATAATTTTGTTTATACATTATTATATTAAATTGTTATACGTAGAGCTGCATTATCGCTGTTGTTGTACCTGATGTCGATGTCCTGAAACAGTGGGCCACGGAAAACAATGTACGCGGCACATTATCCGTCCTGTGCAATAATAAGAATGTGAAGGAACTGATCATGAATGACATGCTCAACTGGGGCAAGCAAAGTGGACTAAAGTCATTCGAACAGGTGCTTAAGACTTATATACAAAATCGAACGATATGCAATAAATATATATATATATCATGTCAATTCATTGGAATTCAGGTCAAGGATATCTACATGCATCCCGATCCGTTTTCAGTGCAAAACGGACTCCTGACGCCCACATTCAAGGCCAAGCGGCCGCAGCTGAAGAGCTATTTCAAGCCCCAACTGGAAGATATGTATAAACATTTGGATTAAAGCAATAAACAAAACTAAAGTTAACCAAGTGCAACGAACAAACTAAACAGCATTCAAATTAAATAACAGCATAACTTTATGCCTAAACTGAACAGAACAAAGATTAACAAACAATACAATACAATATTTTGAATACCAAACAATAAGAAAAGAAAAACAATAACAATATTTATTATAGTATTTTAAAACGAACAGCAGTCAAATTTTTTAAAGTTCCGTCAATTCTTAGCATGTAAGCAGCGCAAGAAGATATATATATATATATATCTATATGATGATACAGATACTGATTCTTAACTGACAAACCACTTTTGGCAACAGCATTTTTCTATATAATTTAATCAATGACTAGCAGCTCTTATCAACAAAACAAAAATAATAACAAAGTTAACTATTTCCTAACCCCTATGGTTCTTTATTTAGAATGAGAAAATGTTTCATATATTTAGCAAGAAATGCGTAGTCTGAACGAAAACATATACATAATTGACATATTGAGACAACTTTAAAAAGAAAAAAAAAACCAAAGCTTTAATTACCTAACACTCGTATACTACACTCAGCGTTAGTTAAAACAATGAAAAAGAAAACATTTTTAAAAATTATATACTATGCTAAATTATAAAAAAAAACAAGGAAACTAATACGTTAGGTAACTTAACAAACACGCTTTAAGGAAAACTAAATTAAAAGTGAATTTCTAACTAAAAACAAATTCGGAGCAATTACTGAAAAAAAAAAATAAGCAGCATACTATATATATTTAAATAAATACTACTTGGACTGCACTGTCTGCCTTACAATTGATAGAAACCCGTAGTCGGACACAAAATCCAAAAAGTAAATCTCTATGAATATGCTCTAAACATAAACCAAACCCTATGCTAATAATAACATATTCCTTACATAGGTAAAAAAGAACTAAAGTACGCGAATTTATGCAATGAATTCAAGTTATAATTTTAAAATAAAGTAAACAAATAACAGCCAAGACTTAAATCCATAACGTTTTTCTGACAGCGTTGCCAGATGTCAAATTCAATGTTGGGCAACGCAGAAAATACACACCACACACCGTTTTAAAAATGGTTCGTACAGTTTTTATTAAATCGAACAAATATGACGTACATAGCTTCTTGCATTCAGTACATTTATTTATTATATATTTATCGAGTTCGAATCGTGGCGAGAAGCTCTTGGAATGCAAAATCTTTTTAGACTTGGAGCTTTTCGCTTCCACTGTTTTTTTTTTTCAATTTTAATTGCTAATTAATTTGTCTGTTGTTGCCTGCTAGATTGGTATTAAGCTTAGCTAATTCAGTATTTACCAAGTATAAGGGACATTAGTCTTAAATTTACTAAACAAAAGGTTGACAGCGATCACAGCTCGCCGTGCACGTACTCGGGTGGCGGCGGTTCTGTGATGACGACCACATGCTCCTCCTCGTCATCTTCAGTATTATCCTTGTTGCTGCCGATATTGTGATTCTCGTGATCCTCGATGCGTGCCAATAGTGCCTTCAGCTCCGCATCGTAATCCTTCCACTCGGGCACAATGCGCTGAGCTGCCGTCAGTTTGGCTTCCTTGGTCTGCGGATTGTTGCACAGATCGATTACCTTGGCGCTCTTGAAGGAGCTATCACTGCACCAGGTCTGACACCACAGCCACTCGTCCGGCAGCGATTTGATGGCCACCTGATGTATCATATTGTTGGGCAAATCCTGATCCAGATTGGACAAACTATTTGGATCCTGACTGAGTGCCTGATACTGTCCACGCAGTCGATCACCGGCCGCGATCTTGCGGAAACGCTTCAAGTCCACCACATACAATGCAGAGATATGATAGCGCCTGCCCATCAGATGGCTGCGCCAATAGCCCTGCTTCCAAAACCGAAAGCCCTCCATTTCCTTACGCGAATCACAGAAGGGTGTGTATGCATAGGGCGCGCCGCCCAAATTCAAATCGTAGAGCTCCTTAATGTCGGTGCGCACAATTGCGTCCGCATCCACGAATATAATCTTGCGCACGTTGAGCGGAAAGAGCACATCCAGGAAGAGTATCTTATAGCCCCAAATGGTGCGCTGTTTCTCCGTCTGCTGGTGCAGCCAACGTGGCCATTTGTATTGCACCAACTCGTATTGGAAATTATACTCCTTCGCCATGTGCGGCAGAAAGTCCGTGAATTGTGGCGACAAATAGTTCTTGAGGAACCAGAACTTCACCGGCGACTTGGTGTGCTTCAGCAGGGATACCATCATGATGCGCAACAGACGCTCGTACAAATGTCCCGATGCCACAGAGAATATGTTAATGGTTTCTGTATCCTCATCCGTGCCAGGCGTGCCGCTGTTTCCGCCAAAGCTGCTTGCAATGCTATTCCAAATGCCCGACTGCGAGGGCGCCGTATCATCGGAGAGGAGCTCTGCATGTTGCATGCCTGGCCGCTTGGATACGCGCAGCTTGGTGACGTGCGAACGCAGCGAGGTAATCAGCACCTGGACGGCGCCCGTCTGTTGCTGGTGCAGCGTGTTGGGCCCCTCCGCATGGCTAATGGCATAAATATCTGTGGATTTGCCGTCGCGCAGACGCAATGTCCAAGCGCCAGGATTTGCCTTCAACTGGAAGTAGCCCAAATTGGCCATCACAATGGTGTCCACCAGCGCGGGTTGCGATTTTGTGCCCAGCACCAGCTGCAAGCCCCGCGGCGGCGCACCGCTGGCCGCATCAAAGCAATGACCCTCCAGCAGCAGATACTCCAAGCCGAATTCACTGTGCACAGGACCACCAATGTCGTGCAGCTTAATGTTATCCAGATCGTAGACAGCGCGGACCGCCTCCACCAGCCAGTTCTCTGGCACCTGCAGCTGCTGTGTTAGCAGCGGATTGGCGGGCAAGCCACTGAACTTCGCCAGCGGACCCTCGGCGCGTGCACCGTTCGCCTCGAACTGCACCTCAGATTCGATCACATAGCGGTAGAAATTCTTGACAGGCATATCGCTGTGCTGCGCCACAGGAGTCAGATACAAATGGAGCTGGCAGTTGAGTGTTTGCCGCAATAATATTAGAATCGGGGTGAGTTTCTGTGCCGCTCTCGAGGCGGGATCCAGCACGGCGACAATGTCAAAGTGGGGCTGCGTCTGCTGCTTGGCAGGCAGCTTGACCACCGAGTGGTCCGTCTTCAGATCGCTGGGCAGCTTGAAGCGCGTCTTGGTCTGTCGGGGCAGCAGGCTGGCATAGAGCTTGAGCAGCGTGTCGCTGTTAAAGTCGCTGTCCACCTCGGTAGCGGATTCCTTGAGCACCTCGCGCACCTTGTCGCCGTACTGCAAGTCGCTGTATCTCGCCAGCAGCGCAAAGTCGGCACTATCGAAGCTCTCGGCGGCGCCGAGCGGACCGTAGAGCCGACCGTTGCCAATCACCAGACGCTGTGACTTGGACAGTCCCAGCACGCGCTGTGCATAGACGCGCAGCATCTTCAGATGCAGTTCCGTGCTTCCCAGTATATCCTCCATCTGTTTGGGTATATCCTCGATGCGCTGCTTCTTTTGACGCAGCCATTTGAGCACCTGGTCCGTTGCCTTCGCGGGCTCCAGCGAGTGCATTGCCGCCCAGGCCAAACGATTAAGACTGCGCTTATCGCTCACACCCTCCGTGTTGGGAATGAATGCAAGACGCACGCTCTCACTGCCACGCACATAGTCCAGGGCGTGAGTGAGCAGCTCGCAGCCTTCGGGCGTCTCCAGATCGGCAAAGACCCAAATTGTAAGGAACTGCAGCGAGGCGCGTCCAATGCGCTCGGTGCTCTGCTTGCCGCCAAAGTATTTCAGATTTGCCATCAGCGTGGCGGTCATGTCGCGATTGGAGAGCTTATTCAGCGCTGCAGCATTGCCGAGCTGCTTGGCGGGCATGCCATTGATGTCCAAGTACTTGACATCCTCCTGGCTAAGTATGCGCTGGTTGAGACGCGGCATCACATGCGGCTGATTCATCAGGTAGTTGATCATCTCATCGTTGTCGGTCAGTTCGCCGCGGTAAACGGACTTCTGCAGCGCCGTTGTCTGACTCATGATTTCCGTGAAAATCGCCTCCTCGAAGTCACTGTCCGCACTGATGATATTGCTCGGCATTGGTGCGCCGTTGAGTAGCGCCTGCGGCTGACGCACTGCGCCAAAGCCCAAGCGTTGCACAAATTCGGTGGCCAGTTGCCGTCCGTAATCGTAATCGGATTCTTCGCCGAGCAATTCCTTGGCCTTTGTGCTGCTCAGAGAGCTGAATTCCTTGGTGAGCTGCTTGACAATGTGCTGCTTGGTGACGGTTTCGGTCTCGCCCACTGCCGCATAAATGTCCGTGAGAAAGCTGAGCGCGGCGCGTGCATCCTTCTGCTGGCTCACATAGTTAAAGGCACACGCAATGGCCACATAATCAGCAGCCGTTGCATCCTCCTCAGCCCTAGCATCAAAGACCAGACCTAGGCGTATCGGCGCCTGGTGTATAACAAAGGATTCAGCCAATTTGATGACGCTGCGCGCCTCCGGCTGCAGTGGATCCACAACCAGCACCAGGTTAAACACATTCTTGCGTATGTTGCGCAACATACCGGGAAATGTGGGACGCAGCAGATCCATAACCGATGGCGGCCAGCGTCTGTACTGTGCATCCTGTTCAATATCATTGATCCACTGGACCGCTGTATCCCTGATATCGATCGCAAACTCGCGCTTGTTGGCGCTATTCAAATCCAGGGCTAGCAATGCGCTGGCCAAGCGGCCGTGCACATTATTGCCATGCAGGCTCTCCAGTACGCGTATCTCGGAGCGCAGCGTCTCCACAACTGTGTACAGGTCCATGGTGTCCGCATCGAAGAACAAGCCATTAATAAACAAAGCGCCGTCGGGCGGTGCCACGTTCAAGCTGCGTCCCAGCGATTCAGAATTGTGCTTAATCTCAGCGCGCAGTTCGTCGGACACTTTGTGGGCGAGCAGAGTGCGCGCCAGCATGGGGAAATTATGCGCCGTATACTGGAGTAACTGCAGCGCCTCATCACCCTGTATCTCGGCTATGGCTGCGGCTGCCTGTAGACCCAAATCCTGGAACTCCCATGCTTTGAGCTGAGCAATCTCGTCGTTGCCCTGCAGCAGACGCTGTCGCAGCTGATCCAAGGCACGCTTGAGCGTTGGATGCTTGGATTTTAGCAGCTTGAAGTCAAAGCCCTGAACATCCGTTTCGTTAGTTGATTCTTCAGCTTCGGCAGTGCTGCCGTTGCCAGCCTCCGGCTTGGGTGCATCATCCTGACTCTTGTACTCGGTGGACTTTAAATGTAACTCTACGCCGTAGCCGGACAAGCGCACGGGCCGTCCACTTCGCTCGGCCAGCTGATGGCGTAACAGATAACGCACTTTGCCCGCATTCGCCGCCTTTTCCAGCAGCTTGTGATATGGCCGAAATGCGGCACTGCCCAGATCTCCATAGAGCACCACGGTACGCGTATTATTCTCACTGCCGGGATACACATGATCGAAACTGTAGCTGCCAACCTCTGCATCCAAGCTGCTTGCAGCATGCGGTAGCTTCAGTTTTTGCTCCAGCTCCGCATATGTGCAGGCGAGCTCTGTGCCCACTTGTGCGTATATTGCTCCCTGGCAGGCGCCCGCGGCTCGCAGCTCGTCGGCCAGTTGAAAGTGCGTCTGTATGCGCGGGGTCAAGCTGTGCATGGAGACGACCAGTTTCAGGAGTGGCAGCTGTGGCACACTCAAATGCGAACGTACTAGTTGCAAGGCGGCATTGTACTGTTTTGACTCCGTATCTGCAAGGGTACACTATAACGTTAGGACTAAGCAGTATTTAGAGTACTTAATGCATTTTGCAATACTTTTCTTGTTTGGTCTGGACACTTAACTGTTTACACATAGACCACCTACCGTAATCGTTGAGCGCCGTGTCCAATGTTGTGACAGCCTGCACGTAGTCCCAGAAAAGACCTGCCTGCTCATCTGCTAAGTACTCGGCAATTTCTAAATATAGTGGCGTTTGCGTCCATTTGGCATTAATTAAAGTGGTAATTGGATAACTTTGACTGGACTCCGCAGCCTCCACCGAGACGGAAGCAGGCGACAATATCGTCAACGTCCCCGCCGTCAGCAACAAAACACACACAAGACGTAACATTTTAGTTGTGCGTATATTTATAACTTTTTTTGTTACGTGCACATGACGCACTAATAACAAGTTATTGTGGAATCAAATAGCACTAGTTGCAATATTATTTCACTTTAGCTTTTGTACTCCACTATTTGTTAATTAAATTTAAGGCGAAAACTGATGTGGCGTTTTGCCGGCCGAAAAAGCGTTGCCACCTTGTGTGGTTCTGTTCTGAACCATTTGGTATTTTAGCTTCTTGATTAGTTCCCCTTATATTGATTATCAGAACCAAATGCGAATATCTTATTGGTAGATTTAAGCTTATGTGGTTTGAGAAAATCATATTAGTTTAATTAAATAATTAATTTAATCAGTTAACACGGGTTGAGCAGCATATTTTGCGATTAAGCTAAAATTCTCCAGAGTGACCAAATCTGTATACTTAGTACAAAGTTGCCAGCCTGTTAGTCACATCAGCTGATCCTACTGCATTGTTTATAAACTAATGCGCGCCCAAATTGCGAAGAAGGAATGAAGTGCACACTGGAGGGGGGCAATGCACGCAGTAAGTAAAACGTAATTGTTTATGTTATTATATTAATATAACTCACAATATTCAACTAGTTGTTGCCAAAGCCATACAATCGCTGTCCAAAGTGGGCAAAGAGTTATTCATTGAAGCAGATATACATGGACTTCGTATGCGCTCCATCAATCCCACACAATCCGCTGTGGCCAGCATATGCTTCCACCGCTGCATGTTTGATACATTTCAACTGCCGCCCAGTGGCGATTGCTGTTGTAAAATAGCCATGAAGCCATGCCTTGGTGTATTTCGCAATATGAAACAGGTAAGTTGATGAGCAGAGATTTAATGTCTACTAGTGCCAATGGAATGCTGCTTTTACAGGTTGAGCACTGCGAGCTGAGCATCGTGTGTAATCGGACTAAGTTCCAAGTCAATCTGCGCTGCAAGCTGGAGACCACGAAGCAAGCGCTCATTGCCATTGTGGATGAACTAAATATTACGTCGGATGTTCCTACAGATCGGAGCTCTAACATGTAAAGTCATTTTTTACTACCTACTATTTTGTAGTCATATCATATACATATATTATTATAGCATACGGGGCGATCATAAGTTACTCATGGAAATTTCAAATAGCTTCAATTCTTCCGAAGAAGAACTAACACTCGAGGCTACTCCAGACAGTCTGTCGGCCAAGAACTACATAGAAGGAGCTCGTGTCAATGACAAGTTCATGCGATCTCAACTAAAACTGAAGCCAAGCGAATTCGACCATTACCAGGTAGCCGAGGGTGCAGTCATTACATTTTGCATCAAGGAATTTCGCGCCTTTCTTCTTTTTGCTGAAGCACTGAATGCACAATTGACGCTGGAGTTTGAAGATGCGGGCAGTCCATTCTTTGTTAAGATTAAGAAACACCGCGAAATTGAATGCTTGCTGATTTTATCAACTCTATCTCCCGATGATGTTAGCTTCTCGGAGGATTACCGTCCGCGCGAGATTAGCATGTGTAATTCTACCAATGTAGCGCAAAAGCGAAAGAGCAGTGGACCTGGACAAGATGTACAGCAGAAACGCCGATTGGCCGAAGATACAACTCTCTCGGATGTAGACACGGCGCTGTTTCAGTTTCGCGAGCATCGACCAGAACGGCCATCCGAGGCACCTTCGGTGCAACCCGCGCGACTGCTGGCCGATGGTGATACCGTGGATCTGGTTGAAGAAGAAGCCGACGAGGAGGCGCTACTGCTTGCAGTGTCAGATGCTATGGAAGCAAGCCAGATACCGCCGCCTGGCAGCACAGAAGTATGCTTCTACAATACAGAGGATGCGCCGCCAACACTAATTCCATCACAAATGGAGCATAACGACGATGAGGAGGATGAAAGTATACCGCAGTCCCCGGAGCGGGAACGCGAACAAAGAGTACGCACAATATTCTCGCGCTGTTTCCAAAACACTTACGTGCCGCGCGAGCCATCGCCCAATAGTCAAGTGTATGCGCCCAATTCGGATACAGAGGATTAGCCTAGTTTGTTCGTTTATTAATAAAAGGCTGTACAAACGTATGCGTTTGCAATACTGCCTTAGTTCCTTGCCTCCTTTAGATGGATAACGGGCAAAAAGCTGCTCGTTAACGCCGACGCAACGCGGATCTGAAGCTGTGCGGTATTTTTTTGTGCCTGCTGCAGCGCGGTGTGAGCTGATTGCAAGGAGACCTGGGATTTGATGAGCATTTGATCTGCGGTTAGCAGCTGCTTCGAGGCGTTCACCACAAAGTTGCGCGTGAAGAGAGTAAGTGCTTTCCAAATCTCAATGTTATTCTCGACTGAAGTTGAATGAATGAAAGGATAAGAAACAAATCTGTCAGAACACCATATTGGTGGCACGTACTCAGTTTGCGTTGCAGCAGATTATTGCGATATATTGAGGCGGTTGCACTGGCGCTGCTTGGCTGCTCGTAGATGTCTTCGTCTTCTTCCTCGGTTGCCTCGCCAGAAACTTCTGCTGCGTATATCTGCAACGACTTTGTTATAACAATTTCTATATTTTATCTGTCAAATGTAAATGCCTTCTGTTTCTCCTGCTCCTCATCCGATTCAGACGCTTCGCCACGCACTAAATCTGCCATAGTTTTGTTTATATTATTTGTTGCAATCGAATTGTCAACTTTACCGTATTGTGTCCATAAATCGATTGACATATCGGCAAGCCGATAAAAATATCGATTGTATTTGTGGACAATCGGCAGATTTCTTTTACCCCAACTAATTTTCCTTTATTTTATACCATAACTTTTTACAACATTAACTTCTTTTTGAAATTTATGAATGAGTTTTTACGTTTATTTTTACCAAGCTTACTCATCAACACAAATTTATAGAAAATGCTGACTAAGCTTACTTATCAACAGACTGCGCGCATAAGAAATAACATATTTTTTAGACATAATTGAAAAATTTGCACTACATTTTTTATTTATGTTTAAAATTTGTAAACTAAAACAGGATTATTCGAAGAATTTCTGCAGAGTTCCCAGTTCGTACATTCGCTTAATGTCCGTGCCGCCACCCACAAATTTGCCATTTATAAACACGCGAGGCACCTGTGGAGGGCAAATGTTGAACATAACGATTAGAAACAAATAAAATTATGATTCATTTATGGACTTGCCGTGCGGGCACCAGTCATCTCGCCCAGTACAGATTGAATTTCATTGCCATCTTTCCGTCCATCCAGCTCTACTATCATTGCATTAACCTTCAGTTTTCGGAATGGCTGAAAATTTGTAAAAAAAAAATAAATATAAGAGCATATACTAAACGACCGCCTGTTATCCTTACCTCCTTGGCCATTGTGCAATAGGGACAATAAGTTTTGCTAAATATTGCAACCTTATTTTTGGCAATTGTATCACGAACAAACTGAGCTTCAGCGGAGTCCATGTTTACCACAGCTTTTTTAGGTTTGCTGGAAAAATCCAAGAACGGAAAGGGAAACTTTTTCGATGCTGTTGATGAGGCCCGGAAGTGTAGCCTATTGATGGATTTATAACGGTTGCTACGAAAACTATAAATTTGGCGTCAGAGGTTAATATGAATAACTTTGTAATAACAACGCATTTCTACATGTCAATCGCATGTAGTTGCCAGATAATTCAGAGATGCATAACTTACGATTTACATATAGCAGAGGACATAATTAATATATATTAATATTATTGGCATTTAAATACACTCTATCTCAATTCGTAATATTTTATAGTTCCAAATTTGAGCCACACCACATAAATATTTTACAAGTTTATTTTCAAAGCAATCCTGTAATAGTCTGGCATCCCTCTTTAAATACATCGCTGCTGTTCAATAACTTGATAAAGCCGCTCAGCTTCTGCAGTCCAAATTGTCGAATATTTTGTAACTTATGTTGCAACGGAAGTATAAGCAGTTTCACAATTTAGATGTCCATGGTATAGGTGTTATATTAATATCATTTAATAGGAATACCCATAACATTTAGTTTATTTCTAGTGGACAGCGCTGCCACTCAGCTTTATCATCCAGCTGATCCTATTCGCGCAAAATGTGGCAACTTTGAATCTTCTTGAACGGAAAATCAATTTTTTTTCTAAATGAGTGTCACAATGGAATACAAAGGGCGACTGTTGCTGAAGAACTTTAGTTAAAAACGCAAATCAGCCATGCCCAGCAGTCTTTTGTTCGCTACTAGCAGCGAGGGACGCGTGCATACGCTGTCCACTAGCTCAAGTGGATGGCGCGAGTTTCCGTATCTCGGTCTGGAGTTCAAGAAAATCAGCGCAGTGCCAAATTATATGTGGGCCATTGGCGGGGATCGGCAGGTGTACGTTCATGTTCATGGACTTGATGTGCCCATACGCGTCAAGGAGGAGTCTTACGAGAATGAGCGCTGGCTGCCCATCGAGGGATTTGCGAAAACGCTGCTGCCCACCGACCGTTATAAGTACTCAAATGCTGATGGTAGCATTGAGAGAAGCGTGGACAAGATACGTCTGCCCTCCATGGCCTGGCAGTGGGACGGTGATTGGCATCTGGACCTCGAGCTGGACGGTCAACAGCTGGCCGAAGATGGCTGGATGTACGCACTAGATTTCCCAGCCACGTATTCAGCGAAAAAGTCATGGAATTCGTATGTGCGCAGGCGAAAATGGATCCGTTTTCGCCGATATGCCGCCCTTAACAGCTGGTGCGCAGTCGCACCCCTGCACAAGGACCCCACACAGGAGCCCTTCATCGACGTGGCCATAGGCGGTACACATGTACCCAATGCTAGAGCCGGCACGCTTTGTGTCTGGGCCATAACTGCACATGGACGCGCCATGTTTCGTACTGGAGTCACAGCCTTCGCACCGGAGGGCTTACGCTGGACTGCCATTAACACACCCACCGGCAGCGAACTGGCACAGATAAGCGTAGGACCAACGGGTCTTGTCTGGGCGGTGCTCTACAATGGGCGTGTCATTGTGCGTACGGGCATAACACGCGATAATCTATCGGGCGAGGGGTGGTTGGACGTGAAGTCACCAGTTGCCACGAGTGCACCGACGGACACGCCACGTGGTCTGCGCATTGTACAGATTTCGGTGGGCACAGATGCGGTCTGGTGTATTACAAACGATAACCATGCCTGGTTTCGACGTGGCATTAAGGGGGATGCAGCGGGCATCAGCGAGGATGCCGCCATAGGCAGAGGCTGGGTGGAAATGGTTGGAAATCTCTCGATGATCTCTGTGGCACCCAACGATCAGGTAAAAACATTTTATTTACCTATATTAACAATTTGATAACATTTTCATTGATAATCAACAGGTGTTCGCGATTGGCGCTGCAGACCGCGCTATTTACTACCGATCTGGCGTTAGCGCCGCCGATCCCACCGGCAAAAAATGGATGAAGATCCAATGCCCAATGCAAATCAGTCGCTCCTCCAGTTCCTTGTCAATAGTTTCACGCAAAAGTGGCGGCAGCAGCTCGACGCCCGGCTCCAAGCATCAAAGCTTCTCCAATCTCTACTCAAAGGAGAAGGAAAAGGGCGTAGTGGAAACGTGTGCAGTCATCGAAACCGTTACCACGCACAGCAACGGCTCCTCGAACAACGGGCTGAACAGTCGTTTGAAAAATGAACGCTGGAAGCTGAACGCTGACTCACCGCCCACCATTGGCAGTCTCAATCTGAACGAGCGTCAAAAGCATCGGGCCACAGCATTACGCGAACCCTTGGCACACGCCTCCAGTGCGCCGGCCGCTGAGGTTGCAGAGATCAGCGGCAAATTTGAGACGCAGCTAAAAAATCCGCGTGCCTGGTCGCCGGTGCGTAGTGTTGGATCTGTTGTTGGCACCGAAGCTCATCCGGAGAGTGATTCGGCTGTCTTTGAGTCGGAATCAGCGCATGGCTCCGATGCGTTCCTTGGCGAAGACGACGATCACAACGGCTCGCAATTTTGGACTGAGTGTGCGGTCATGTGGAGCTGTGTGACCACGGGCGCCGTCACTGTGGATGCCAACAACATTCCCAACTGGTTTAACGAGCATCACAATGATGGTGGCGCCGATGCGAATCCCAATTGGCGCAACGATATACTCGAGAAACTGAAGCAGCGCCAGCATTCCATCGCCAAGCTGCAGCAGGAAACACATTACGAAAAGGCAGTCGAGCTCACATCTTGGATTAAAACGGCGGATGCTCGTTACCAGCATCCAGCTGGCGAGTACGACGACTGCGTCATCGAGCTGGAGTGGGTCAGCGGCAATTGTGGCGACAGCACAGAGAACGACTCCGGCACCTTCACCGTGCTCAGCCCCGATGGTGCCGCAACCAAAATACAATTCGCACTCTCCGACATCACGTGCGTGCAGTGCTGCAGCGAGCCAGGTGCCCCGCGTCTGGCAATACATGCGATGCACTTGCGCGTCAATTGCAGCCCGGTCAAACTGCAATTCACCAGTGATGCGGACATGGAGGATTGGCTATCGCACCTGTCCTCGGTGTGCAGCCAAATCAATATGCTAATGGGCAAGCCGGCAAGCAATGCGATTTGGCTGACCAGCGAACTGGGTGATGTATTTGTCTTCGACGCCGCCAACATGAAGGCACAACAGCTGCAGAAAACCTCCAATGGACAAGCTCATTATGTAGAGCGAATGGATGTGTCCACGTGCGAGACACCCTACTACAACACCCTCTATAATGGGTAAGTCTTTTTAGCTATTGTAAAGGTTGCTGCATAATTATACTTTGCTTGAAATCTCTTTTAGGATGCCCTGCGGCAGCGAGCTGGAAATCTCGGGCTGTGTCTATGATGATGCCGATCAGATTCGCTTTGATTTGCAGTGCCATTCGAATATTAAAGCGATGCCGCATCGTGTGGAAAAGTTTCGGGTAATTGCGATGCATTTGAATCCGCGCTTCAATGAGCGCACAATTGTGCTGAACTCCATGATAGACTCGGAGTGGCTCGAGGAAATACGTAACGATCGTATGGTATTTGCGCCTGGTGCGAGCTTCACGGTAAAAATCAGGTAGGTTAACATACTTATCAGTCTTTTTAGCTATAATAATTAATGCTTATTGGAAACACTCGAACAGGGCACTTCAGAATCAATATCAGATTATTGTGAACAATGCGCTCTACACAGATTACAAATATCGGACAGATCCGGCGGCCGTCACGTGCCTCTATGTGAGTGGGCGTGTCAAGCTGTTTAATGTCGAGTATCGGTCGCCCTCGCTAATTGTCTCAATGCAACAGATGCACTGGCGCCAAATGGGCGGTCATTTGAAGCGGGTGTATAACAGCGGCGTCGATGTCGTCTGGGGTATATCCTGTGATAATACGGCTTGGGTGTACAACGGTGGCTGGGGCGGCATGTTCCTGAAGGGCCTGGAAGGCTCGGGCAAAATAAACGCCATGATTGACACGCACACCTACTATGTGTATGAGAATCAGCGCTGGAACCCCATCAGCGGCTTCACTGCCAAGAGTTTGCCCACAGATCGGCACATGTGGAGTGATGCAAGCGGGCGACAAAAACGCAGCAAGGAGCACACCAAGCTGCTGTCCACACACTGCGAATGGATATCGGATTGGGCCATCGACTACAACATACCCGGCGGTGCGGACAAGGAAGGCTGGCAGTATGCAATCGACTTCCCGGCCAGTTATCATGCACAGAAGAAACTGACGGATTGTGTTCGGCGGCGACGTTGGATGAAAAAATGCCGCCTCACCAGCAGTGGTCCTTGGCAGGAGCTCAGCCA